ATGGGTCAGCGGGCGGTCCGGGGTTGTAGTCCAAAATTGTGGGCCGACCCGTAACCGGCCCGGAACCCGCAGCGGGCGGGCTTTTTTTCACGCGGGCCGTTACCGGGCTCACATGTTGGCGGGCCGACCCGGCCCGGACCACCCGGATTGACACCTCTACCTAAAATGTATATGGTTGATGAACATAACCCATCATAGTAAGGCTATATCAAAGGTAACAGAATGAAACATAATTCTCCAAAATTCTTTCATACGCATGAGTTTCACAAGAATTACGACATCGATGTTCAACAAAATCTCTCAAGTGATAATGTGACTGTTTTATTTACAAAACACTGTCAACATCCACATTCAAGAAATTGGTTCACACAATTAGAATGTATCAACTCAAAAATTTTCAGTGATCAATATTAAGGGAGTAGTTGCACTTTTTTTACCCTTCGATTATGTTTTATTCCACTGGGCTTTCCTAGCAAGGCTTTAATGAGTCAGCATTTGTTTTTAGTGTTCAAAAATATCTTTGCTCTTTTTCCTTCGTTTGATTTTTTTTATCTCATTGGATTTTTATCATACAAGACTTTAATAAGGCAGGTATTTTGTAATGTGTCATTTAAAGGGGGTGTTGTAAATGATAAGTTTATTAGTGAATATAATTGTACCACTACTGGCCTAAAAATTATTATTATTGTATCCCTAGTCATTCCCTGTAAATATGAGGATTTGGTTCTTATTATAAAACATACAAATCTAGTGATTTCTCTAGTTTTATCTCTTTTTGTCTCTCTAGTTTATATCAGACGGTAAAATTTCGTTAATTTTAATTAGACTGAGAGTAGAATCTCATTCTTTTAATGGAATGAAAAGTGATTAATTAATTATCTCGGTTAATTAATACTTGATCAGGTAAAGATTATTTAATTAAGTCTGATTAGATTGTTCCATTGACTTTTTTCAAAATAAGAATTGAGATCAATTATGAAGTTATAATACTTTATAATTGATCTTGGAGTGCGGTGAAAATAATTAAATTCTGCCAGCCAAGCAGTCACGTTACTGGACATGTTGCAATGTCATGTGCCACTGCCCAAAGAAAAAGTTCCTTCTCTTATTACGTTTCCATGTCCAAATAATAACTCATACTAATGCAAAGGCACATATGCTAGGGTTCATGAGAACGCCAAAAGATTTAATAGTAAAATCAAGAAGAAAAATACAAATAAGTTTTTTGTAGAGTTGTCATTCTTAAAATACCAAATCAATGAAGAAAGTGTTGGGGCTGCCATTACAAAAATGCAATCATATGTTGTTCTCCCAGTAATTTTACATTAGAGTAATGCTACTTACAATCGCTTACTAAAGCAGTGATCCTATGTGGCACACACATAACATGTAGTTATTTAATACATTAATGTGATAATTTTTTACCACATTTAATGCATCTAATACACACTTGACATGTGTATGCCACAAAGGACGACTGCTGCAATGAGCGACTGCAAGTAGCATTATTCTTTACATTAAGAATTTGTGTTTTAGATTACCATGACTAAGTACTTCACAATTATTAACTTATTTTATGATTTGTTACATGATTATTTTCAATCGCATATTTATATATTAAAATATTTTACACCGATATTAAAAAAATTTTACTAGTTTTTAATCATACTTCTCTTAGTAATCACTGTTCAAAACTCATTTTTCGTGAAACAGGCGCTAATTCTCCAAATGATTCGTTGGAATTCTCACCGCATTTTTCAAGATCGATTTGTAATCATCAGTCAATTGGAATTTATTTTTCAAGAATGCCGTTCTTGAGGACAAAAATGGTTTAAGAGAGAGAGATCGAGAGTTGAATTTCTAGAAATTTTCTGCTTGTACCCACCCCATGTGAGTATTCTATATGGTTTCTGGTTTTTCCTCTCTCTCTCTCTCTGTACATATAGATGTTCTCGAATTTCTGTTGTATGAAATTTACTGCTTGTGGTTTATTTGTGATGGTCAGAGTTGGCGACAGCTTAGGCGGCTTCAAAAGTAATTTTTGTTCTAATATTATAATTATTTGAATTGACTTCAAAAAACAAAAATATCTTTCTCTAGTTTTTTAGTCATGAATTCTGTTACAATTTTAACCCGTTTACAGAACCATTTTCGAAATTTACGACGATCCACTGATCCTCTCTTTCACTCATCCTTGTCTGTAGACATCTTCCGCAGCCATGATAACACAAAACACTTATTTTTTCAAGTTTTCTGTGTTGTTTGTCCCATGTTTATTAACAAACATTAATTTCTCATATGGAGCTGACAGTATCACAGTAAACCAATCTCTTTCTGGAAACCAGTCAATTGTCTCTTCTGGTAACACCTTTGTGCTGGGATTCTTCACACCAGGTAATTCTTCCCGGTATTATGTAGGAATTTGGTACGAAAATATTAGTCCAAGAACCATTGTTTGGGTAGCAAATAGGGAGACACCCATTTCAGACATGAATTCTGTAGAACTGAAAATTTTAGATGGGAATTTGGTGCTTATGGATAAGTTCCATGTTTCGATTTGGTCCACCAATGTAAACTCGACAACCTCAAATTCTGTAGTGGCAACTCTAGGTGATAATGGGAATTTAGTTTTGAGAGATGGATCAGAACCTAGGACAAGTAAAGGATTTTGGCAAAGTTTTGATAATCCAACAGATACATGGTTGCCTGGTGCTAAACTTGTTTATGACAAACATACAAAAACAAAGCAACTCCTCATTTCTTGGAAAAATTCTGAGGATCCTGCACCTGGGCTCTTCTCCATTGAACTCGATCCAAATGGGAGTCAGTTTATTATAAGACGGAATAGGACTGAACAATACTGGACTAGTGGAGCTTGGAATGGGCGTATTTTCAGTTCACTTCCTGAACTGAATTATGTCTATAATATTAGTTATGTTGATAATGAAAATGAGACTTACTTCACATATTCTCTTTATGATCCCTCCAGTTTATTTAAATCCGTGATGGATATTTCGGGGCAAATTAGGCAGTCATCATGGTCGGAGAATGTGAAGGAGTGGAATTTGTTGTGGTCTCAACCCAGGCAGCAATGTGAGGTGTATGCTTATTGTGGGGCATTTGGGACCTGCAATCAGAATTCATTGTCCTCCTGTAATTGTTTGCAGGGATTTAAAAAGAAGTCAGAAACTGATTGGAATTTGAAGGATTATTCGGGTGGCTGTGTAAGAGAGATTGATTTATTGCAGTGTGAGAATGGTAGTACTTATACGGACAGAAAATACAATTTTTTGGCCAATTCCCATGCTAGTTTACCTGAAAGTTCTCAATTAGCCACGGTAAGGAGTGCTGGAGAATGTGAATCTGTCTGTTTGGGTAATTGCTCTTGCACAGCTTATTCTTACTATGGCAATGCATGCTCGGTTTGGAATGGTGAATTATTGAATTTTCAACAACTCTCGGAAAATAATGGCAGTGGAAGAACGATTTACATTCTACTTTCCGCCTCTGCCTCCCAGTTTTCAAGAACCAAAAAAGGTAAAGCGGTTATAATAGGTGCAGTTGTGGGTTCTGTTGCTGTTGTTATTGTCCTATTCACCATTGTTGGGTTCGTGATCTGGAGACGTCAAAGGAGAATTCGGACTCCAAAAGTAGTCGAAGGATCATCGATAGCAAACTTAGGGGAAGATAACAAAAGCAGTATCAGTGTTCCTTTCTGCAGTTGGGAAAGTATATTAGCTGCTACAGAGAACTTTTCAGATGCACACAAACTTGGGCAAGGTGGATTTGGACTTGTTTACAAGGTTTTACTACAGTTTTCTCCATCATTGTTTTCTATAATCTAATTTTTGCCCTTGTGTATCAATTCTAGTTCACTACTCCTGCAGGGAATGTTTCCTGGAGGACAAGAAATTGCAGTTAAAAGGTTGTCAAGCTGTTCTGTGCAAGGCATTAATGAATTTCAGAACGAAGTTGTATTGATTGCAAAGCTTCAACATCGAAACCTAGTTCGCCTTCTGGGCTACTGTATTAAGGAGACTGAAAAGATCTTACTCTACGAATACATGCCCAACAAAAGTCTTGATGCCTTTATATTTGGTTAGTTCATGAAAATGATATGTTTCATTATTTCTTTATCTTCATCAAGATTCAAGATTGAGGATCATTCATAGAGATTTGAAAACAAGCAACATTCTGTTAGATGGAGAGATGAACCCCAAAATTTCAGACTTCGGTTTGGCAAGAATTGTTGAGGGCAAAGGAACGATAGCAAGCACCAGCAGAGTCATTGGAACCTAGTAAGTGTTAATTTAACATGGTATGATCACATTGAGATTTGAGACTACCGAAAGCTATTAATATCATATTATGATATTCTACTTACAAACTCCAGATTTGGCTCTAGTTCAAGCAATTCAGTTCTTGGAATAAGTACTAGAAAGAAGTAATTTATGATTACAGAAAAGTGAAAATAATTAAATCAATTTATACGTATCTTACACTCCAATTGCAAAACACGATGATTTTTGGAAGTTGACAGTCAGGATTTCAGTCTTGAATGCATACATGTGCTTAATGCATTCAGCATTAAATCTGTTTTAGTTCTGCCTCTCCCAGTTAGCCCTCGCCAAAACCTGTGATGATAGGAGGTTTGACTCCGACTATGCAGTGCTATGAGAACTCTAGGTTCTTTACACGATCACCAGTCAACAAATTTTGTTATCTTAAACATTGAAGGCCTATTTCACTAATGTGCCTTAATCTTCTATACTTGAAAACACTACCATTGTCTGTCCCTTAAGAATGTATAGACCATTCCTTTTAGGTGCCACAAATGAACCATTTTTAGCCTTATCAATGTAGTCAGGCTCATCAAGCTATCCTAGTCAGATAAAAATTTCTCATCAACTTTGACATATGTTTCATCTCCTTCAGTGTTCTAGTTGTCCCGTCATGCATTTTAACGTCTATAGCTCTACACCTACTTGTTGAGGGATTGGTTATTCCCATCATTACCTTCGCAGCATCCATTTCCTAATAGGTTGTGAACCAGTCTCTTATTAGTCGTGTGACAGGTACAACCCGAGTCAAGGATCCATTCTCGGTTATTTTGTTCTCAAGACTGCAAAGATTTTGCTATCTTCAAATATCTCAATGTAAGAGCAACAACTCCACTCGTTTCCCTTATTGTGTTATCTACATGATCCTTTGAGAATAGTGGTTTCTTAGGTGGCCTCTTTTCCATAGAAGTAGCACTTCTTAAAACCAGATTTTGGCTTGGATTTGGATCTGTGATTTCAGCAAGCTTCTGCTCTTGCCCATTCCTCTCAGATCACTGTTTCTCCAAGTGCTTCTGTTTCTTGCAAATAGATCTTCTGCCCAGGGCCTCTGGTCTCCGTTTCTTCTTTCCAGTCCAAAGCAGTGTACAGTCGTTGGCTCCTCTGCACCAAGTGCAATTATATTAACAATGACGAATTTCTATTTAGTTATGCTTAAAGATATAGAAATCTTATAGTATCATATATATATATATATATATATATATATATATATAC